CAGGATTCCCATTTATTCTTGCTCACCCATGTGTGGGGGGGCGGTCCTGTCCAATAGTGGTTATGTAGCACCCACCAGATTCACCGTACGAGGCCAATATCCGCACCCACTTTGCCCACGGAACCGAAACCTGAAAAAGGCCATGCCTATTGGCCAAGGGTGCCCAGCCTGATCACGAAGGAGGACGAGAGAAAAAAACGGGCTGATTCCCTTTTTGGAGGAAACGACACATAAAGGGTCACATTGTCTCAACAAGATACACTTTAGGGTTTCAAGATTCTGCTTTGACGTCTTTGGGTGTCAAAGACCATGATATTTAAGGTCCAAGGGGGATTCCGAGGGAAAGGGAACGAATCCAACCAAACAGCAGCGAAGGTTATCCACAGAACTGAGACATGGCATCCTCTGTGAGTTTCGCCATTGTAGAAGGGAAACCAAAGATTTCGGTTTGTTTTCAACGGGTCGTTCCCTTGGCTGCCTGAACCAGGGACATGGGAATTAGGGACATCACTCCGGCCTGCGCGCAGAAACAAGCAGTCCAGCACCATGACGCGCTGCACCTGGCAAAATGAGACCATCGCCTCCATCCATGATGAAATTTGGGGCATTCCCCCTTCCCTTCCTGGCGCAGCGGCCGAAAATCCACCCCCCCCCCACCGAAACACTTTGATCCGCAAGCCGGGGCTCCGGAAGGGCGGGTGGGTGGGAGGTTTGCCTTTGGGGATACCAATTTTTGTCACACAACCACCGAGGTATGGGATTCGAATCCCATCTCGATTGATGGACTGTCTCCAAAGCCCTTTTCAGGCTTTTGGAATCCAGGCTTGTGGATTTCCTGAACTCGATGGGCCCAACAGCGACAACATCAGTCACCATGCCAAATACCAATGAGGTCAAGTCAGCCAGATCTGTGGCCAGGGGAAAAGCAGGTTGCACCCCCTCCCAAATCCGCCGACATTCCAGGGCGGCAAGGTATGCAACTTGATGGTGTTTCTTGCACCATCCACCCATCCATCCATCCATCCATTCATTCATTCCATCCATCCATCCATCCATCCATTCATTCCATCCATCCATCCATCCATCCCTACATACATCCATCCATTATTCACCATCCAGAGAAACGTATGGGAACCGCACAAAACCGTGTTTTCCACTTGGTTCCTAAACCTCCTAGCAAATCAATTTAGCGGTATAGGATAACCAAAACCACCAGTTGAAAACTGGTTGGATAATGGCGGCTTTTTCCCAAAGTGCTCTCAAAAGCAGCCTGCAACGTCGCCATGAGATTATCCTTGTCAAGAATGCTCCCAGACTTGGCAGTGATCAACAAGCGGCAGGGCTCGCCCCCGCCCCCGCTGGTGAAGTGCTCTTCGGTCCATTCCAAGTCCTTCATCACCTGCGAAACCTCAGGGGCGATTCCGCACGAATCATTCACTCTCCATTGGATCGAGATTTGAACAAGGGCCGTTTTGGGTCCAAAAGTTAGTGAAGCAAAGTCGACCAAAGAGGTCCACCGAAATGGTAATGAATCAAAAGGAAAGGGACATCGACCAACCTTCAAGTAGTGGGGGTTTGATGGTAAAAGGCAGGCTCTAAGGTTCTGCAAAACCCCTGTTGGTCACCAAATTCACTGCGCCAACACCTAGCAGACTCGTGAAGGATATGCGATGGATCCCTTCTTGGAGCTGCTTTTACCTGTCAAATGTACTAATAGATGCCAAATGCTTTTTTGGGGTACCAGTTTCACCTCGGTTTAAGTTTTGGGGTATCGGATTTTTGGAAGTCCCGTATCGATTTTCAAGAAACAAAAACACCATGGGCATGAAGTACTCCTACGCAAAGTAAATGCCAGTAATTTTGAAACTGACTCTCATGCAAATTTGTGCCCATACCAATGATTAGTCCCTTGAATCAATGAATCGGACTGTCCCTCGGATTTTCCAACGCGCCAAATACGGCTCCCGAAGCAAACTGCGCCTGGTCTACCCACAAGTCTCGAGATTCGCTCTTGGCCTCAAAGCGCAAGAAGCCAAGTCCGCAAAGCAGGCAGCAAAGGAGCGACAGTGCGATGCACCTGAGCCACGCTCTCAAAAAACACAAATCATGGTCAACCCTCCCCCCAAAAAAAAGCAACAACGCATGGTCAACCCTCCCGACCCTCCCCCCAAACAACAACAATCAACCTTTGGCTCTCCCAAAGCCAGCGGGAGGCTGCCTTTTAGGTTTCGTCTTTGGCATCTGAGCTGCACGGTGCCAGCAATATTGCGCCACACCGGCAGATAGCCCGGGCCATGGCCCGAAAGCCAAAAAAACCTGGCAACTGCGGGTGCGTGCGCGTGGCAAGCTGTAACCTGCACACCTCTCGTGGCAGGGGCGCGAAACAGGCAGTGACCGCCTCACACTTCAAGGGCACAAAACAGAACCTGTGCTGCAGAGTCTGTGCGAAGCAGAAGCCAGCAGCTATAGCCCGTGTGGCGAAGACAGCCAAGTAATCAACGATTTCACACGACTAGTGACTGTGCACCTACAAACGCTGCTGCGGCTATCGCTGCTCTCCTCAGCTTGCGCAGTGGTAACACCACGTGAGTGGCCGCTTGTCGAATAACACCAGACGACACGCAATGGCGCGCGCTGCACAATTCCCACGTAATCGTACTAAGATACTGCGCCGAGCAAACAACCAAAATACATCAAACCTGGGGCAGGTCCAGCACACATAGCCACTTGCCTCAAATTACCTGACGCATCAGCTTGGCGCACCATGTTCATCACCGCGTAGACACGCTCTGACACGCAACCAAGACCACCTCAAATGCGTCCACAGGGAGCTTGATCTCGTCTTCTCCCGAATCCCGAAGAAGAGCCATAGTACCAAGGGCCTGTCTCCGTCCACTCACGGCAACGCGAACACCGCTGCCACAAACTTCAACCCGACATCGAATATGAAAAACACACTCCTTCACGCTTGCACGTCGAAAGTGCCACCGCAAAGAAGTTGCATACGTTAGTGTCACAGTTACCTGCCACGCCATCCGTGCGACGCCGCACCGCGCCCCAATCAGGGGATTAGGAACCCCACTGTCAAGCACGCGGACAAAGCCATGGGCAACGTTAAAAAGCCAGCGACTGCGGCCCCTGTCTAGACGTCTGCCCAGACCACCGAGATCACGCGGTCATCGCCTACCATTGTGACGTGTCCATCGCAAACAAGTATAGTTCCACTTCACACACACACACACTAGGCATAGACACTCATGGCTTCCCCGAAACCGGTCGGAACAGCGCAACCAACTGGAACGTTCTTGGGCCATAGGTACTACCAACATTTTTCCAACTGCTCAACCCGAGCCATGGCTAGGGCTCAACACGTGAGCCAGGGTTGCGGTTATTTTCTTGCTTAAACAATTTCAAGCCAGTCTTAACAAATCTTACAACCAACCGTTAACAGGTCTGGGTGACGAAAGCATTGGAGAACATCACCCGAATTTTGTGATAGCAGTATGCTCATTTCCATGACTTCCTTATCACTTTGGAGGGGGTTCACTTGGTATCGCAGAAAGTGGCTCTAGCTAATCCATCTGCGGCGCTTCCATGGATGCGTGGCGCTGGCTTTGGCCAGCTTGCCCAGGCCCCTGCTGGCCGCCCCTTCCGCCCGCCCCGTGAATTTCAGCCAACACTCCATGGCGCAGCTTCCCAACTTGAGCCCAGAAGCCTCAGATTGGACAAGGAGTGCTCCAAAATCGATTGCTTGGTTTCAAAGCGAAACAAAAGGACACACATTCTGTCCTGAGTGATCATTTTATTGAGGTTCAGGGCACCCGCAACTGGGTCCAAAGTCACTCTGATCTGTGCAGGAAGATATCAGCAAATACTGTCTAACTGCCAGAGAACACCTCAAGATGGCAGAAGCCATGGCTTCATGCAGTGTCTCATTGGCCTGCCCTTGCATAACTTGTAAGACACGGGACTTCAGGCAAAAAGGAGAGTGGGGACACGTGATCACTTGCTGATTGCCTGTTGCTCATCGAAGGTACGCATCTTGAAGGAAGGCAAGAGATTTCGCCCGGCGAATAAACCGCCAGTTGCTTGCAGGGGCAGGTTCTGAGCAGAGCTGCAAAGAACGACTTGAAGTGCAAACGGTATCTCTGGGCAAACATGTAACATCAGTGTTCCAAAAAACATGCACATCTTGTTCTCCGCTTTTCAGTCATTGAATCGAAAGGTTTTGGACGACTACAGTCCCCTCGAAAAGGCCGGAAAAAGTCAAGCGGAAAACGGGCAGATTTGTGACCCTGTGGCAACCATCAGCTACGTGAGGATGTGTTTCTTCTCCTGCACATCCTTTGGAACCCACAAAGGCTGCAAGCTGAGACACCAAGCGACAAACATCCGACGCAGCGCCTTACAGCCTTTTTCGCTCATGTCATCATGGCACGTCTGCGACGCATCGCTTTGCGAAAAACCACGAACGCCCCCTGCTTAGGAGGACAGACATGGATAAGAGCTGATCAATAAGATAAGAGCTGACGCAACAAGCAGGAAAAAGCAGGCGGGATACTGGCTACAAATTCAGACCGCGTGATAACTGATAGCAGGCAGTTGATTAAAGCTAGGTCGATCTAGCCAGCCTTCACTTGGGAGTTTATCACACATGTCTTGAATGCAGCCGCCCAGCGCGTGTCACGACAACTGCCAACTTTGAGGCAGCTGCTCTTGTGGTTTGGACTCTGGCGGGTTACTGGCTACAAATTCAGACAGCATGATAACTGATAGCATCTGGGAGTTGATCAGAAGGGTGCGTCAATCTAGCTAGCCTTCAATTTAGGAGTGAATCACACATGTCTTCAATGCAGCCGCCCAGCGAATGTCACCAAAACTGCCAGCTCTTGCGGTTTGGACTCTTTGCGGGTTAATGGCTGCAAACTCAGACAGCATGATAACTGATAGCATCTGGGAGTTGATCAGAAGGGTGCGTCAATCTAGCTAGCCTTCAATTTGGGAGTGAATCACACGTGTCTTCAATGCAGCCTCCCAGCACGTGTCCCGAAAACTGCAAAAACTTCATTCCAACTCTGCGGCTATTGCTCTTGCGGTTTGGACTCTAAGACCTTGGGAGCAGATGAGTCGGGCTCCGTTGCCTCGTTGCCCTCTTTGCCATCCTCCAGATTCGAGATGCCTGAGATTCGCACGTCAGCCCCCAAGATCGGCCCCTCAGAAAACCTGACAGTACCTGTAAAGACCGGTTCCACTTCGGTCAAATCCTGCTAGAAACCGGTTAAGAGCTGGTCCATCTCCAGTCCCTACCCCTTAAAACCGGTCAAATTCCTCTTCAACCAAATCCACCCTAAAAACTGTAGAAACCAGTCAAACTCCCTTCTAGAAGCCTGTTAAACCTGCTCTGGCCCGATCCATCAAAACAAAACAGTCAAATTCCCAACCCACCATTCAATAACCCTTGAAGCCGGGTGGGATTTCGCGGACATGCACCTGCCCTCTAGCTTGGAACCAACTCACGCATTTCGGCGCCGACTCACTCACTTTAATAACAACACTTCAAGGCAAACTAACGCACAGTTTCTACCTCACAGCCAAAAGCGGACTGGCCGAGGCGGGCAACGCGAAGCGTTTACAATAGGGTCGATGTCCAAACTCCCATTTTCAAGGTCAAGGATGTTCAAAATGGAAGATCCCAAATCTAAGATTCTGTCATGAGACAGAACTGAAGTTTCTGCCATCTGGAATAAGGATATCGCAGAATTTGGACAGCCCCATTTCCGAAAAACACTTAGATAGAGCTTCACGTCGTTTCGCACACGCCGGGGCCAAGATGCGGGGGTCGGCCGCGGCCTGGGTCACACTTGGTCCCATGACGGCAAGGCACACGGGCAAGAACACCAAGCCATGCAAGCCTCCAGGGTTTGACTCGGCGCCGTTCGTGAGGGTAGCCGGAGAAAGCGCCGGAAACGAAACACCAAATGAGGTGCTGGCAACAAGCGTCTGTCTCACACTGAAAGGAAACCAAACACCCATCTGGAGGAGGGGGTGGAGAAACTGTTGCTTTATGTGGAGTTTAAGGGTACGTGCTTGATAGGTGCCATGGTCACTTAGGTGGGTCCTGGCCGTTCCTTAACAAGAATCCTGACCATCGCCGAAATGCCGAAGCGTTTCAGCCGTGAGCTTTCACCCCACCTCCAGCCACTACGATGCCGAAGAACATCTTGAAGAACACACGGAAGGCTTGGCTCGAGGAAAATGCCAGCGGCACGATCGCCAGGAAGGTCGTGCCTCGAAACGAATTGTGGAAGGAGCTCCCAGATCAAATCTGGATCCTTTCTATGGAAAGACCTGCAAAAGCGGCAAAAAATGGAGGCCCACACAGGCGCGAGAGTGGCAAATCTGCAAACCGACCCAATAGTTTGCGCAGCAAGTTCAAGCATGTTCAAGCCACAAGTGACTGCAAATTGACCTTCCCAACGACAAGTTATTCAATTCGAAACGTGTTGTTTTTGTGTTTTTCATAGCAAGTTCTTTGACACATCCAATTCGTCATTCCCACAACCCTCGCAGCCAAAATCACAAGCCAAACGGGGCCGCCTTTGAGTTGGTACCTTTTGTCGCTGAGGCAAACCGAAAGCAAAGGCAACACATGGCTATGACTTAATGACATGAATCCCCAACTAGTTTGAATTGATGCACCAAAGGGTCCCAAATCGCAAAACGCCCCCTAGCTCTTGGCAATCCCTCCGCACCGCAAGCAGGCCGCCAGTGATGAAACCCGGCGCACCAAAAATGCTTTCCAAGGCGCTGACACCCAGGAAGATCGCGGGGCCAATTTCCTACAAGCAGACATGAGGTTGAGGCTTTTGCAGTTTCCAGAAAACGACCATGCCGCTGTTGGGGGGAAAGAACGCCAGTCAGAGGTCCGTAGCCCGCAGTGCGGGACCCCAGTCGCCCGTAAAATCGGGAAGGCGGGGGGCTCTGAAATACCCCGCCAAAGCAAACGAAAACCAATAGCTCACATGGCTTTGGCTCTTCTTTAGCTTCCGCAAAGCCAAAACAAAAATGGTACTCCAAAATTGCAATGATTCAATGACCTTGGATTTTTATCAACGGGAGGATCCCCGATAGATGAGTTTCAACAAGGGCGGACATTTCAAGAGAGGGAATTTGGCATGTGTGTGCTCAATGGTTCTTTGATGCGAGACAGGTTCAAATCAAGCAAGTCGTGAATCATGAATGAATTTGGGTCAAACACATTGGAGCTATGCGGACACACCTATCTTCGTCATTCACTTTCTGAGCTGAGTATTTCTCAACCGAAATTCTGAAAGCTTCGGGGTCTGAGTTTTTGCGGGTTGGGGTTCCGGGTTAGGGCTGCTGGCGTGCCAGCTTTGGGAACTCACCAAGATCAGTAAGCTGTTTCAGGCTGCAAACCAATGTCCTCAGAATGTGAAACCAACTTAGGCTCGGGTGGCCTCCATGGCCAGTTCTGCTCGTCGTGCTCTGCTCAGAGTCGAGCTTTGGAGGCTGAAGTTGTGGGCCATGTGCATGCCTCCAACAGGCCGTATGGCATCACTTGCGCCCAAACACCTGCCATTGTCTGGCACATAGGGGGATCCCGCAAAGCCACAAAGGAGTAAAGGGCGGTTCCTTGGTGTTACCCTGAAACCAAAGTTCAAAGGCCAATAATTCTGGGCGAATTATAATATTTCACCAACTTGAAATGTTTGGCGGTTGGGCCGCATAAACCGCCATTTGGGGCGAGGTCGTGTGAGGTCGTTATAATTCACCTAGATTAATTCCGCACAGCCAGGTCCAATATGATGCCTGCTCTACACACTTTATATACCCCCTTTCCACAAACTCTTGCACAAACATTTGAACTGCGGAGAAGGTCTGCTGCCAAGGGCACTGTAGTCCACGACAAGGCCCACAGCCATGATCAAGTTGATCATCGAAATGCTGTTCAGGTCCAGGCCCCAAAGGACAATGTTGCCTGAAACATGCATCAAATTCACCCCTTAGCTACGAACAATGCTCGAATCGGCACCAATACAAGTTCCTAAAACGACAAACTCAGTAGAAACACAGGCAACCGAAGGCAGAGAGCAAAGGAAACCATCAAGTGTCCTTTTCCCTCAAAAGGATGCTCCTAGAAAATCCGCCTTCCAACAAACGCGCCTAGCAGGTGCCTTCTGGAAGACCGTCAAAAGTAAGGAGAGACGCCATTCAATGGGCTCCTCTTCGCGCATACTAAGTTTAATCTAATTATTTTGACGCACGCTTCTTTGCTCAGATGATTTGGCGTTGCCTTGAGCCTTTCGCTTCTCTTTTTCGTTCACTTCCAAGACTCCGTGGGAGGTTTGAATCGGGCTTGTTTCGGGCGCTTGGCGTTGCCTGCCTGCTCAGCACGGGCGGACGTAGATAAGCCTGCGCTGAGTGTATCAGTCCAAGACCAAACGGAGCTTCATTCGAAACGCCATTCCTATACGAGATACACAACGGCCCAGCGATGCCAAGCATCAATTCCACGTTAGTTTGGGCAAACGCGTGGTTCTGGCAGCCGTGGGAATGTTGGCCGCTCCAGAAGGGGCTGTTTCACGCGCAACCGGGTCCTTTTCACGCTTTTTCACGCTTCGTCACGCTTCCAGGTTGCACGCAAACTGCAGCTGTCAAAAAGTTGACTGTCGGCTCACGCTTCGCGAGGGCCACGGTACGCTCAGAGAGATCCTCCGTCACGATGCTTAACGCCGTGTCACGCTTCGACGGCTGAAATTAGCCGGGTGATTCAAAGAAAGACAGGTTGCACAATGAGTGGCCGTCATTGTCTCACTAAAGGAGTTTGCCCATCTGATGCTGGGCTACCTTCGCTAAAATTGCAAACACGCGTAGGGGGCTCCAGAGCGCAATAAATTCATCTCTATGGGCCACGACGTGGCTAAGCCGTTCAGCGAAACCACAACTTTCGGGGCCCTCTCAGAACAGACGTCTCTCACAAACTGTTGGGCTCTTATTGAAGAGACGGGTATGCATGTTTATTGGGGGGTGGAGTTCAAGCTGCCCATCAAGTCGGTGAAGACGAGAGCGAGGACCACGAATACAATCAGCACGGACAAAGGATGCGCCAGAACGAGTGCACTGATCACCGTCACAGCCAGCAAGCAAAGCCCAATGCTGGTCGTCATCTGCTCCACGATAATGCGGTACTGGTCAAAGAAAATGTAGGCCTGGACAGACATCATGACATTCAACACGTACCCCTAGATGTCGAATAGGTACATCATAGGACATATTGTGACGCAAGCTTACAACATCTACAATGTCATACATGTGATACACATACAAATATCCGCCGACCCTTTCTCCAAAGGGGAGGCGCATGGGAAGGGTTTGTCTTTGTGCTTGTCTTAGTGATGATTATCATCACCACTGATGTTGGGTGATGGTTCACAGCATCCGGATCATCATTAAAACCGTGGCGCTCTTCTTTTTCATATACGTTTCAAGTGTGCCGTTAGACCCGACTGGAAATGCAGAGGATGCGGTGTCACAATTGTTATGATAACTGCTGCTGATGCTGGGGATGCATAGTGATGACGTTAACTGCTGGTGATGCTGAGGATGCGCAGTGACGATGATGATGATGATGATGATGATGATGATCATGATGATGAACATGATGATGAAAATGATGATGGTGGTGTTCATCAATCATCATCATTATCATCATCATGTTCATTATCATCATCATCATCATTTCATCCCAAGGTGTTCCTAACGGCTTACTTCTCGCGAAGACGAAGCGATGACACAAATCCTCACTTCGCATCCACGGCAATACATTGAAGTCTTGAGAACAAAAAAAAGGCCCCCAACATGGTTTTCCTGCCCGAGTTTCCACACCCGGCGCACTTCTTGTAAAATTCAACAAGGTGCTTATTATCATACGAATTTATCCCGCAGTGGCTTGTTTGAGATGCAGGGAATGCGTCGTCATACTTATCAGAACAACTCCTGGTGATGCTAAAAATGCAGAGTAACAATTATCATCATAACTGCTGGCGATAATGCGAATGCATAGTAATAATTCTCAGCATTCCTAATGTTGGGTAAAAACTGCATCATCAAAAACATCATCATTTTCGTGCTGCTCTTCTTTTTCATACGAGTATATGCTTTCAGTGTGCCATTAAACCCGACAAAGCCCGACAAAAACATGCGTAGTCATAATTGTCATAACAACGTCCCCTGTCAGCAAGCAGGGGCCGGCGGCACAGGGCGGCAGCCCTCAAAAAAACTTCATACGGCATACCCAAACTTACACCATCCACATATATATATACATGCGATATGGCAACACCCCTCCCAGCTGTGAGCCTCCAACTTCGAGTCGTGCTATGCTACCGGCCTGAGCAGACATAAAGCTCCCTGCAGCTCGTGGTTGCCACTTCGCCGTCAGGGCCTCCGCCTCTTCGAGCACGGCCACTTGCTGCCTGCTGTTCACCGTGTCCACGTGCGTGGCACGAAGCCGCACCGCCTCACAGGTACATGGCGGACCCCCTTTTGCATCGTTTTTAGTAGCTAAAGGGACACAAACAACTCAAGACAGGTTAATCAACATGGCGGACCCCGGTTTTGGATAGGGACACAAACACCTCAAGACGGGCTAGTCAAAATGGCGGACCCCCGTTTTCGATCGTTTTTTGGTGGTTAAATGGACACAACCAAGTCAAGACGTTAGTCAAAATGGTGGTTAAAGAGACAAAAACACCTCAAAACAGGTTAGTCAAAATAGCGGATCCCCGTTTTGGATCATGTTTGGTGGTTATATAGAGGGACACAAGAACCTCAGGACAGGTCAGTCAAAATGGCGGACCCCGTTTTGAATCGTTTTGCTGGTTAGAGGGACATAACAACCTCAAGACCTCAAGACAGGTTAGTCAAAAATGGCGGACCCCCCCCCGTTTTGTATGATTTGTGGCGGTTAAAGGGACAGGACCCCTTTTTGGAGTTTTTTGGAGTTAAAGGGACACACCAACTTCAAGACAGGTTAGTCAAAATGGCGGCCCACGTTTTGGATTGTTTTTGGTGCTTAAGGGGGCACAAGAACCCGAAGACAGGTTAGTCAAAATGGCGGACCCCCAGTGTTGTTTTTTTGGGGTGGTTAAAGAGGATCGTTTTTGGTGGTTCAAGGGACTCAAAAACCTCAAGACAGGTTAGTCAAAAGGCCCCCTTTGGATTTAAAAGGGACACAAAAACATGAAGACAGGTTAGTCAAAATGGTGGACCCCTTTTCGAATGATTAGTCGAAACCGATTTGGATCGTTTTTGGTTGGTGGTTAAAGGGACGCAAAAACCTCAGACAGGTTAATCAAAATGGTGGACCCCCTTTTTGGATCGTTTTTGGTGGTTCAAGGGACACCAAACAAGAAAACACGATTTTAGGAGCCCCCGGTTTAAACAAGTTAGGTTCCTTTGTTCCTTTGTTTGAGGACTCCATTGTGGATCAGGCGCCCGACGCTTGCTTTAGAGGTCACAAAAGGGTCCATGTCGAACCAATCCTTGGCTCAGAACCAAAGTAATCCTCGACCATGAAGCCGCGCAGTGCATTCGGCAAAACGTTAACCGTTAAACATTATGAAGAGCTGGGATTTTGGCCCAGCCGAGCTTTGTTGGGCCACGACCCAAAACTCAGTTGATCTCTGGCGGGGACCACCCAAAAAGGCTGGTGTCCTTCTGAGAGCCAAAGAGGGCATCCTTAAACCCGACATGCCGTTTGAGCGGCTCAAAACTCCTTTCACCAAAAAATATGGTGAGACCCCTGGCTGCTTGAGACTTCGTGAGTTCCATGCGTGTCCCGAAAGGAGCCACAGGCTAGGCCTTCACGGCTTGATCACGCCAGACAACGTCGTCGCGGAAGCCCGAGGACATGCCGTCATTCAAGAAGTCCAGAAGGGCTAACTCGAAGTGTGGCCCAGTCACAAAGTGACCTTACAGCCGACTAGAACTCGAAAAAGAAGGGGGGAGACACTCAAAGGACCAACGGCCGGGAGTTCCGAACACAAAGAAACGTGCCAGTCACGCAACTGGCCAAGCCCAAGCGTCCAATGCCAGAACTGTTGGCAGCAGCTTGGCCGGGAATCTCAACTTACATGCGATGGTTTTGTGAGTCTTGAACCCTTTTTGTCAAGCTGCATTTTTCCCCAAACGGTGAGATCAAAAAGCAGATTCGGAGTTGGACAAAACCGGGCCTTTTCAACCTTCTCTGGTTCCACCAGCGGCTCACACAGGCGCTTCGGGGTTGGACAAAACCGGGCTTTTCAAACTCCTCTGTTTCAACCAGCGGCTCACGCAGGCGGTGACGCCAGTGGGCAGCCCGGCTGCGCAGCTGCTGCGGTTCAAACCCCCGGGGGCTGGCTCGAAAGCATCCAGTGGCAGCGAAGGAAGCGAGCCTCGAAACGGGCCATGTAACACGGCCCAAGACTAGTTAATCTTCGAAATTGTTTAATGTGGGCCCCCCCTCAACAGTCAAGGAAACTTGACATTTATCAAGGTGCCAGTATTAAACCAGGGAGACATTAGAAGCTACAAGGGTGCTTTTCAAACGGGTCAGCAGGGAAGCCACAGGAAGCTACCAAAATGAACTGAGTTGAAACGCATCCAGGTCAAACCATGCAAGTTTGATGCAATACAGTGGATTTTGTCTAGGGGGCGTTTTGGATCGGCGCGGGCAAATTGAGAAGTCGAGGTGCCTCGATTCGTCCATGCCCAATGGCTGAAGATCGTGTGCCAGCTCCTCTGGAATTTTCTCAAGAGAACCGCGCTGTCGTTTTGGCACTTTTCGGGGCCTTTGTCTGGTTTCGTTTCCCTGATGTTCCAAAGGCGGTTTATTTTGCATGTTTTCTGTGAAAGGCGGTTTTTTGCCAGGAGTAGTTTTGTCCAAGCTCAGCTGATATCATTGAACAATTCGGGCGCCTCACGTGCCCAGGACCAAAGTATGCAAAGACTTGACCTCTGCTCCCACAAAACAAGCGGAGAGATTACCAAAGGACAGGCTGAAACACATCGATTCACCGGTGTCAAAGTTCACGGCAGAAAACGTGCTTTCACGCTGGAAAATAGACTTTCACGCCAATTTCACGGTATTTTCACGGTGATTTCACGCTACTTTTGCATACATCACGGACCGCTATGTTCACACCAAAATTGTTGTGTCAAGACATGTTGGGGTGGAACAGGCTTTGTAGAATCTAAACGTGGCAACAGTATGAATAATCCATCAAATACCACGCCATGGCTCATTGCAGGCGCAAACAGGCTTTAGCTGCAAAAAACAGGCGAGGTGCAAAGGACGTTTAAAAAACAGTCGTGGATTTCCAGGGCTTTCATATTAACCCCAAGACGGGTGCCAACTGAAAAAACACACGACCCTCTCCCAAGCTTTCACGCGCCACTCCTGAGACCTCGCTCAGAGTTCACGTTGCTGAGCGCCAGCATCTCAGCACCCACCTCGCTGTTTGAAGTCCAAGAACGGAAGAACGGGGGGGGGTGGCCCGTTTGGACGACGTTGGAAGGGGAAATGAGACGAAAGAAAGTTACCAGCGCACACTCCAAAGACGGCACAAGCCGACAGTTGTGTTTCCGAGTAGAGATATATGACCTTGAAAAGGATAAGCACCCCTCTTGGTCTGCGATGAGGTGTGTAACGGCTATGTAACGAGGTCTGTAACAAGGCAAAGCAGAGCGCAGTACGCTAAGAGCGCCTCCGCAGCTCCAGCTTGATTGCAGCTATTCAGCGCAAGCCAAGCTGCGGCAAAAAGGGGGATCGCTGGCCCGGGCTGGGTTGCGTCTGTAACGAGACACGCAATGGCTATGTGACGAGGTGCGTAACAAGGTATAGCGGCCCCTGTGCCAACGCTTCATCTGAAACAAGCTCTCTGCAGGCTCAGCAGGCACTAGTGGAACTCATCTGAGGTGTGGAGCGAGTGCGTACAACGAGGGGCGTGGAACGAGCTAGCGGGTCTTGTTACAGAGGTCTGTAACCAGGTCTGTAATGAATGTCCGCCGCGGCTCTACACAAGTGAAACCCCAAACCGATAATGGGAATCCAGCATAAATCAACCGGGTGATTATTAGGGGGGCATACCGTCTGGTGCTGGGGCACGACACAGAACTTCTTGCAATACTTACTGTGACGAAGATTGGCATTCAAGGGAACTTTGAAACCCCATGCGTTTATGCACAATAATTCCGGAAGGAGTGCTATAAGTGTAACTGCGAGGTACGCCAAACGCATGGAGGCGGTTCACATTTCCGTTTGACCCCTCAAAAAATCACTGCCATTAGACAACAACCCATATCTACGATTTCCGTAACAACCGTTGCGCGTTTTTCAAAAGAGAAGTGAACCCTCCAAACATGGACATCTCACTTCCTGAGTGGATTGGCCGAACAAATCTTTGCGCGCCACTCATCTTGTCTTCCCAAAAAGGATCAAGTTCAGGAACTCAGGAAGCGAGACATCCTCGAACGGAAACAACCATAGCATCTGATTGCTGGAGTTGAGCGCCTCCTCCAGCATTCGCTGCACTTCCACAGAGCTGAAGTTCTGGTCCTTGGTCAACCCAAAAACTAGGAATTACATTCCCCAACCTGTGCCTAGACTGCGGCTGCGCTGTGGCCCTCCCCACGCATTCATGTCTCCCCCGCCCCACCCAGTGCGTGCCCTGGCCCCTAGAAAGTCCGGGCATATTTGGGATAGGTGGGTTAGAAGCTGAGCCGATGAAAAAGCACCTAGCCCCAGTCCTCTGCCCTTTTCCTCAGCGCCAAGCACCAAGAAAGCGAGTTCACGTTTCCCAAAACAAGACGGTTCCTCTGAAATGGTTCTTTTGATTTTGCAGGGCCTCAAATAATCCGCTGGAGCTCTCCTTAAGGCTGAAAGCATGGGCGTATCAACCCCAAGGCTTCCAGCTAGGGAAGTTGCTCTTCCCAGTCGCCATGATGACATAGCTGGTCGGAAGCGCCAAGCCCCCAGTGGACAAACCTCCGAAATGCAACCGCTCCTAGGCCGGACCCCAACAAATTGAAACTGGAGGTCGGGGCAAAACATGGTTGGGTCAAGTTCTAAAGTTCACTGAAACACCCTCCAAGTCAGGTTAGGAATGTGTCGAGCAGTGTAGCGGTTTAAGCAACCTACAGAACTTGCCTTCGGGTTTGAGTCGAGCATGGCTGAAGAGGATGGGGATCAACCTCTAGGGCTCACCTCGCAAGATGTTTGCAATTGATTGGCCGTTGTTTACCTGTTGCAATCGAAGAAAAACTGCGGATTTATCTTCCGGGGTTGCAGGAAACCAGGCGCCCGCCAAGGCCATCAAGCTCACGAAGAAATAAACAATTTCTTTGGAGCGCTCAGCCTTGTGCTTTTGCTTACAAGTGATCAACACCTGAGGTCTCTCCTGCACATAGAAGTCTCGCAGGTAGCTGCTGTCTGGCGTAAGGTCAATGATGTTGAAGTCAGTACCTGGCTGCGTTGAAGATGGAGCTCGCAAAATCGCAGCTGGTATTGCCACTCACTACTGTGGACAAAGATGGATGAAGCGCTATAGCTTGGACAAGCCAAGTGGTCTGATTTGGTTTGTTGCTTGAACAAAGAACCGGGCCCCCCGGTCGACACTCTGAGAACCGCAGAACAGCGTGAGAAGACTGCCGCCAGCTTGCATGGAACAAACCCACTTTTAGGATCCTTCTAAGCATGCTGCCAGAAAAATCAAGCTTTTTGCAATTTCAGATTAAATTTCGACCACAACCTCAGGCATTCCACAAAAGCTGAAGTCTCAAAGGAACTAATCACGAGTCGGCATCTGAGGCGCGCGCCGAGACCCGAGCTCGCCTGCCAAATCGAGATGCCCGCCACAGCCAGGAAGAGGATCACAGTCCTTTAGGCTGAAAAAACGTGCAGTTCGTGGGACCTGAAAGCTCTATGGCCACACACTGAACTTTTAGGGAAGTTGGGCACTGAGACGCTGTTGTCCTCTCGAGTGATCAACAAATTTACAATTGGCCCAAAGCAACGACGAGTTCAAGTCCGGTTCAGGCATCCCTATACTTACCAACACAAAGGGATGCGTGCATGAAGGGTGTGCTATGAAAATTAAACCCTAATCTGGTGAGAGAAAGGCTAAGGAACAGTATGGTCAAACGTCTGAGGGTCTGTCATAGATCTGTCCTGGCACTTTAGGGGTAGCGGAATCTAGAGGGGTAGTGTCATAGATCGGTGAAAACTTGGAAAAGTAAAACTGTACTGGGCACTGCCAGGAGTCACCAGCCCGAGAGCCGGAGTCCGAACCAAAACACGCACCATGGACACCAGGATTTGCGCCAGCGGTGACTTCGTCGCGTCTCTGTCTCCTCGTTCAGGGCTGCGAGAATAACATCCAACGGCATATCACTCCACTATTTTTGTGGGGGTGTTGGAGGCACAGTTCGATTTGTAAGACTGAGCAGCGACCAAAACCCATAACATCCCATAACCATTGACTACCGGGTTCCGGCCTTACTACAAGCCCTATTGAGCCAGGAGGGGGAACGTTTGCTAAGCTTGAGGAAGAGGCAGATAAGGACAACGACAAAGAACGAACAACCAAAGAAGAGAAAGATAATAGAAAGGACTGAAAGGATAAGAAGAGAGAGGTTGAGAGAGAGAGAGAGGGAGAAGGTGAAATGAAGCGTGTTTTAAATTATAGTTTTTTACATGATTGAAACGTTCCAGAGCCCCTCGGCTCTGCTGGATTTAATGGTATGAGAGATCTTGTCACCCAGCTTGGATTCGTCACTGCCATGCAGAGGGTACAAATAGCTGCCAGCGTTTGAGCTTCCGCAGCACTCGCAAACGTGAGGCCACAATTGACACTATCTTAAAGAGGCTTTGAGCGGCCTCCGGAACTCCGCCCTGTGTCTTTGCCTTTGTCTTCTCTTTATCTGTCTCGTTGTCTCTTTCTCTTCCTCTTTACACCTTTTTCTCACGTCTCGTGGCTTTCGTTTCTTCTTTTTTCCCTTCGCTTTGTGTTCTCTCACCTTCTTCTTCCTCGTCTCCTCTTCCTTTGTTTCTGTAGCCTTCCCTGTTTCTCCCTCCTCCCTTGTCTTCTTCTTCATCTTTCTTTCCTTTCTTCTTGTTTCTCGGCCTCTTTGTCTTTCACTTATTTTATCCCTCCCTCTCCCTCTCCCTCTCCCTCTCCCTGTCTCTCTCCCTCTCTCTCTTTTCCTCTCTCTCTATCTCTCTCTCTCTCTCATCTTTCCTCTCTCTCTGAGAGAGGAAAGATGAGAGAGAGAGAGAGAGTTGGAGAGAGAGGAAAAGAGAGAGAGGGAGAGAGACAGGGAGAGGGAGAGGGAGAGGGAGAGGGAGAGGGAGAGGGAGAGGGAGAGGGAGAGGGAGAGGGAGAGAGAGAGGGAGAGAGAGCGGGAGAGAGAGAGAGAGATGGATAGGATTCATTAGCTATACAGTTCTACGGAGTTCTTCTTAAACTTCCAACATTGACACAATCGAATCCAGCAACGTCAAAGTGTTCTGCCAACCGCAATGGGCATGGGGACACCTTGATTTCAGCACAATTTGTGACCCCAATGTCCCCATATTTAACCATAGGCTAAAATGAGCGCTTGTCTTCTTGGTCTAGAATCCATGGAAGCTACCCCACACCCACAAGGCAAAGTAAACACCAATGAGGTCTGGGTTGTTTTTTTGGGGTTCTTCTTGGGATGTCCAAGGGACCAAAACCAATGAGGGTACATGATGATAAGACAAACCCATACGTGGAGAAGCCTTAAATGGAATTCAATGGGCGTCCCTTTGGTTCACAACTCAAAAAACGACACGCTCGGTACCATTTGAGACACGGTCAAACACATGTTGCAGTAGAGGACGTGGGAAAACAAGGCTTCGTCTCCTGCATTTGTGTTTGAAGTTGAGAGATCGTCCCCTGTGAACCATCAACTGGATATCTTGAATGAGAATCTCATCTGAAATGGGTGGATCCCAAAACGGGCACTCAAAGCTGGCCGGTGATTTTAGCTTTCCCTTGGAAACCAATGGGCCCAACAACTTCTGGGCGTGTCATTTTTAAGGAGACCCCAGCGTTGGCTTTTCTTTTAGTTTTCTTTCAAACCACCAAAAAAGGGGCACCAACAACAAACAGATACCCGTTTGTTCGTCTAGCACTGTTTTACAGAATCCCTGAACCAACCCCAAACCCAAAAAAATGTCCTGTGTCACCAACCCACCGAGGCCTCCGAAGAAGAAAACAATCGGAAGCCCGAAGTCTCCTGGCCCTGGCATGCACGACGCCCTGGCTGAAATACAGGCGAAGGGGTCCAGGCCCGGTGGGTCTCTGCTGGCGCGCTTCGCGTCCAAGGCCAGCATGGCGCAAAAGGCGGAGCAATGCCTTACGCCAGCTTCGGCTGGAGTGAATGAGAAATGGAGCGATGTTCAGCAAAAACCGGCCCTTGTGAGATCCCTAGATTCATTCCCAAACCTGTTGATTTTGCACAGACAGTCAAGGTATCTCAAGAAAAACACAGTCTGAAGAACAATGAGGGCCCTTGTACCAAGTGCTAGGCTGGGATTCTCTTACTGCTCCCTGAGGTGTTCAGCTCTAGCAATGGAAACGCTATGTTCACGCTTACTCGAGAGGTAGCGGCCAAGTGCACCCACCAGAATGATCACCCTTTGGGGCCTTGACTAAATTTGGGCACCCGCAGACCAAAAAATGAAAAGCTTCGCTTTGGCAAGCTGCAGCAGCCAAATAAAGAAGACCGACGTGGAAGCGAACATGCCTCCGCTCAGGCACAAAAACAACTAAAACAAAGCCAACAAAATAGAATAGAACACTGGCCTTCTCGATGTGTCCTAGGGTAATTGCCTTTAAAAGCAAGGATTGAAGGGAAACAACCAGGAACCGTCAGAAAACGGTCGCCATGATCCGGCCGCGCTGCAGAACCACTGCACCGAAGGAAATGCACAAGTGGCCCCCAGCAGGAAAGACACCAGTGAGGTGACTTTGGTCAGTGTAATCGAAACGCCAACCCTCTGCATGGCGTTCTCCACTCGAACGGGAATGCTCAACGAGGTGTCGGTGGCATCAAAAGCCCCGGCGATCACAAAGGCGTCGTCGATGCCTGGGGCTTGTCCAAATGGGTCCGTCTCAAATTGGTAGACCATCTTGGACAAAGCCGACTCAAATTCAGGATCTCTTGTTGAACCGTCTACTTGAGGCAGCTGAACACAATTTCAGAAACAGGGCCTATTTTGCTTGTCCCCGACCTATACCCACCAGAATAAAGGGCAGGATCTGCGTGAGCACGGTAAATGGCTTTCCCAGCAGCATGGCCACGCCAAAGCCGGCAACAATGCCCATCAGCACAAGGAAGAATTCCATGCAGCCCAAGAGCCTTCGGCTCTGTGTGGAACTCCAAGGCTTTCCAAGGAACAAAGCGCAGAACACGGACATCAGTACAAAGGCCAAGGCGAAGAGTGGGATATCTGCCCTCACGGTTCGATTCAGCTCATCATCTCCGGAGCTTGGGACCTGGACGAAAACCTCCACCAAGTCATAGGATTGCTTCAGCATACTTGACTCCACGAATTTGTTGATCAATGCCTGCGCCCAAGCATCTTCCCAATCCTGCTCTGCCCGCAAGACCCAATCCACCCTGACTGCCTTGGCCCCCACGATGCGCCCATTGTTCCGGACCATGCCCCCCATGCTGTCATCCGGGAAAGCGTCCCCGCCGTCCGGAAAGGTCTGGGCGTTGATGCTGTTCAGGATGTCGTCTTGGCTCAAACTCTGGTTGACGGTGCTTCCAAAGTAGCGAGGCAGGCCACTCAGGAAGCAGCCGGAACCAACCCGCAAACACACGTCATCCCAGGTCTTCCCATTGTCAGCGACCATAGCTTTCACATCCTGCACCACCTGCACGACAGGCTGAGCTAGGTTGGCATGTCA